CTATTCCTCACTTTCAAGGCACAGCGGGAGTGTTGGCAGCTGCGGAGCTGAATTCTGACATAAAAAGGCATCGAATGGCGCATGCATAGACAAACCGGTAACTTCTGCTACTCGAACAAGCGCTGTCAAGCTACCTTCAATAAAATAATGGCATCACATATTATCACTCCGGGCTCGATTAGGTGCGGTCACCTCGATGATGTTGATCAAAAGAAGTGCAGCCATGACCAGCCGTGCCGACTTGGAGTTCAACCCTTTGAAATCATCACCGAAAATTGCAAGAGGTGTATGCAGGACCCTCACAAAAGACTCCACCACAATTTCCACGGCCTCAAAGATAAATCATCTCTTCTCCGTTACTGGTATTGTCGAAAGTTCAGTGAGGATAGATATTTTTGGGGGCCGTCCAGGCTGGGTGAGGGAGTGGGCATTCCAGTTTTCAAGAGCATCAGCGCCGAAATGGAAATAAGTATGCGCGAAGCATGGCATGAAGAGTCCAGAAGATTTGTCAAATTGGCGAGTTGCGGTGCGAGCGCGGTTTTTATGGATGGTCAAGAACCGTGTTCTGTTGATGAGTTGGACAGCGATAAGGGTAGAGCACTTTTAGAAAGGGCGATGGAGATGATTCTTGAAGAGACGAAAAAAGCCGAAGAAATTGCCCAGTATCTAATTATCTTTTCCCATCTCAGAGATCTATTCTCTGTTCCTTCCCTTGCCGCCTGACAATCCTGCCTTTTCTTGACGCTCACGACCAATGGCCCCTGTAAGGCCGACCAGGAGAGAGCCAAGTTCTTGGCTCTGCGCGCCAGTACGAAACCCATCTTGCGGAATTGTCACATATCAACGACACCTTTTGCCGTGTCTTTGGCCATCCTTGTTTGGTCCATCTCCACCAGAGAGCTCATGTGTCGTCACGGCCCCTGGGCTAGTTGCCCTCTGTGCCGGTCCATGGCGTTCCGACCCCTAGTCAAGGAGTGCTTAGACACTTGCAAGCTAGAGTGCATGAACCAGGTTGTATGCACTGCTGGTGATGCCGAGATACTGGATGGCCTCGTAACTGTGAGCCAACCGCATTGACCAGTTGAAGACGTGCCATTCCAGCCACTCTACTCTGACCAGGGCCGTTTTAATGGGGGGGAAGCTCACCCGCCTCATATACGTAAATCATCATATTAACTAGAGCCTCTTCTCAGGGCAATGACGGTGTAACCTCACTATGCACGAAGCACCCATTACAACCTCACCCTAGGCATGTCTGCCCATTCGCCAAACGACTAGACAACGTCCTGTGGCTCTCTTCATCCAAGCGCTACTTTCCAAGTACCAAAATTCGCTGTTACGACTTAACATTATATAAAGCACGTCTTGTTCGGGCAAGCCCGGTGCTCATTTCTCATTACTCTAAGTCTAAATTACGCTCTCCACCGTTCAAGGTTGCCACATTTCGACATGCGGGACGAGATTACCGTCAGGGAGGTCACCGAGGCCGGTGTCGTGTTTGCCGTGACCATGGTCTTTCTGGCGCTTTACCTGTACTGGATGATCAGAGCCAAGCCGCGAGAAGCTTCGATCAGAGTCAAGCCACAAGAAAATTTGATCAGAGTCAAGCCAGGAGAAGCTGTGCGTAGGCGAACATGGGCGTTGATTCCCACAGCATGTCTCCTCTTGGGTTCCGGACTAATATTCGCCGCTTTGTTTGGCAGTGCGAGAAATGCACTCCTACCAGGCGTCCTTGCCTACCCCTTTTTTCACAGCCTGGAAAGGAGTCACAATATTATGCGTCGACATCATCGAGGTACTCTCCACTCAGGCCCGTCTGGTTATCTCCCCGATATACTCATGGTTTACAGCTTATTCAAATTGTCGATCCCTTGATTTACGCCTATTTTTGTAGCGCTGTTGTGCCTGACCCCCTCCAAGGCGAGAATCATCATTTTTGGACTAGCATTAGTCTTTCACCTTCCCTTTATTGGGGCGACCGTCTGGCAATTCCCGCTATCCGGCGTCGAATACTGGTGCGCTGCTCCAATGGTGTCTCACTTGGTTACCGTTATTATGGTTATGGCGATATGGAGGAAGACACAGTCTTTCCGTCGTTTTGACCGGCACTCTAACCAGCCTCAGCCAGAGCAGCCGACGTCAAACCAGGGGATGCCGTGGCTTGGAGCAGTGAGCGGATTGGTGTTCCTAGCATCATCTGTGCTCCTGATATGTTCTGTGACTGGTTGGGTGAGACACCAGTTTGGAGGTCAGTGTGGACTTTGTCTGGCGATTTTAGTTGTGCCAGCAGTACCTCTGGACAGTATGATGAGAGAACACCAGAGGAAACGGGTAGACAGAGAGGTGCAGCTGTCTGTGGTGACAGACCCCGGTACTGAACGGTCGACGGAGCACCTTGTATTATCCTGAGGGCACTGAATCAGACAGACGGTAATTCCATCACTGTACGCCCTCCGTCTACGGCCAATTCCTTATATTTAAGCGTCCCAAGTTTGGGCCACAGGAATATGCTGCATTCAGGTCGTGCAAACGCTCCAAGTAATCCTTCCAAGTTGGATGCGCGACGCAAAGGTGCCTTCCGAAGCATATATGGAAGCCCTGCTTTCCACGTCAATCATGATCTTTTCTTTAGTTCAGTTACACTCTCCTCGACGGAAATACCCACGTTAGTTCACGCAAATGTCCACCAGTCGTCTGAAAGACATATTCTAAAGGACTTCATCGGACTCGCAGAAGAGCTCGCTAAGGACAACCGGCTCGTCTCGCCCTAATATTCACGCTGTAGACAGTGTCCAGACGTCCAAATATGCTTAACTTACCTCCGCAAATGAAGTGTCAATCGAAGTCCAAGTTCTGGGGGGCGACGAGCTCGCCGTGAACGACTACAGTTCTGATGGCAGTGAAAGCGGCTCGCCAAGCATGAAGTGGGGGCTGTTCCGGCGTACGACACCTTAACATAGGGAAAGGCAGCGGCAATCACTCATCACGCTTATGGTGGAGAGTAAGAAAGCAACAGTCAACCTCAGACAAGGGATTTAGCGAGGAGCCTCGATTCAATTTTCTGCATGCTCAAGTCACATGCGACCCCGGAAAACCCGGGCAGTTCTATCGCCACGAACGACTCGCCGCAGTATGCTCATGACCGAGTTGACCGACTCACTTAGACTTGGACTCGTGTTGGAAAGGCAGCAGGGGGCACTCACACCCGACGCCGTCTTGGATCATCGATACGCCTCACATAATTCGGTGACCCGAGGGCAATTCCCGACAAGTCTCGCATGAAGGCTAGCGAGGATGCAAATGCCAGCTTGTGGAACCAGCATTTCTTAGACGAGATATTTAAGGACTAGGTTACTACCATTCTAAGGGCTGGTGAAAATATAACAATTCAACACTCCTCCACGGCTGGTTGCTTGCTCCTCCGGATATTGTGAATCCGCTGTCGCTTATGCCCTTGCCCATGGCTTTGCCATCTTCTTTTAGGCGCTCGACATTCTGTACTTACACCCCCGGATATCCCGCCGTGGTCTCTCCGCTCGCATTGCCTGGTGTGTCGTGACGAGTCCGAAGGAGAAGACTGAGAAAGGCTGATAGTAATTCTAACAGGCTTGCAGAGAGGGAGGTCAAGTTCCATCTCAACCTGTTTGCCTTGTTCGTTCTCGACTGTACCTCTGGCCTCTACTCGATGGCAAGTATCGGATACAGTGACTCGAAAAACGAGCCCAGTAGGAGGACGATTCTCCTTGTCATCGTCGCAAAAGGAAGAGTAACCACTCTCTTCAAGATCGCTAGGTGCAAACAAGGGCTGAATATTTTGTGTAGGTGACACTGCAATCTCGTCTTGCGGATATTTGTCTCGACAGTTTGTGCCGTTGAATTGGCTTTCGGTATCCGAGAATTCTGATGTGGGCGAGGTAGGACAAAGAAGCATATCGAGAGCACGAAGATGACCAGTTTGTCCACAGGCAATCGATTCAGTGGAACTCATATTCCCCTGCATAGTCGAGGTAGTGTCAGTCGACATGGCGGGAAGGAGGGCCTCGTTGGCTTTCGGAGAATTGCAAGAAAATGGGAGATATGGAAACCGGGACAAAGGGGGGTGGTGCCTACCTCCTTTACTTTCTACACGAGTATGAGACGGGCTGCCTTGGCCGGGACGAGAGCGCCAGCGAATCATCCCGAGAATCCCAAGGCGCAGCTTTGGCCATCTCATTGCACATATTGTCGGGTGGGATCATGCGCCTTCCTCCACTTCCGGGCTGTGGTCCGTTGTTGCTTCGCTGACGCCTGCCGGCCACCCTGAGATGGTTTATGCGTCTTTGACCAGGTTCAGCTTCTGCATCAATGCACCGATCGCATCCGCTAATGCTGCAAAATTACGAGTAGCCAACTTCTCCGTAGGCGCAGGGGCGAACCGAATCGTGCAGACTAGTCCGCAGCCTCCCTGCGCCGGGGTTCAGGGAGGGAACGCGAGGCAGGACTTGTCCGTTAATTCCTCTTCCCTCGTCGTTGACCCAATATATGACAATGTACATGTACATGCCTGGGAAGTGTCGGGGTGGCGAAGCTTGCAGCGGAGGAGCCTCGCGACAAGGGAGGGCTGCCCACGTCGGCATCAACTTCGGGAAGATGACGGCGACCTTCGCGATACCTACATTTGCATCTAACGAGATAGCAATACTTCACAATGCATGAAAATTAGCCGCAGCTCCAATGGAGCGACTCTAGAGAGCCGTCAGGGACACCCTTAGGGTGGGAAAACGAGACATGGCGATATTTACACGCTCCGCTTGCTAGACGCCACCATAGACTGCTGGTTTGTATGATTACCTGTCCGGCTTTCACGTCGTGTTTCCCAGCTCTGCTACCAACTACGTCTTCCATTCATTCCTTGACTCAACGCTTGACTTCTAGGTCGTGAGTATCTTGCGGCACTTACGGCTTACACGCGCTACTAAGAGCACATGCGAGAGCTCGTGGTAGCGAATCTAAACGAGACAATGTCACAACCTCGGCGTCCTCTTTTCGACTCCTACGCAAGTGCGAAAGGCTCTCCCGCCCAGCAAAAACCCAACCTACACGCCGAAGCCACGACAGCCGCTCCAAAGCCCGAGCGCCAGGACGATAGTAAGAACGGCTTCGTGATATGTCATGGCGGCAGCGAACATTTACTGACGTGAATGGTATAGGGAATCAGGCAACGCCGCGGGCGAGTCGAACAATGCGACTCAGCACAAGCCCCAGATGGCACAAATCGAAGAGGCCATGAAATCTCAATCCGAGGGCCTCCGTCAGACATCCAGTCGCTTACCCAGCACGCATACGGAGGTCCCTACCGTCACCTTCCAAACAATTATCTTTGGTATCATGCGGCAACTTTTCAAAGAGATTGAAGAGAATTCGAGAGAGCACGCGTATTTGCGCAAGAGTGCTCATCAACACTATCACCTCGGGATCTCCAGGCGATTGCACAGTTTCAGGGACAGCTTGGATCCCCAAACACACTCGGGGGAGACCCTCCATACCCTGTGGCCGAGAACATGGAGATTTCTCGTCGGAATGTCCTCTACGAAGACGGCTGTTTTGATCGCGAGGGGACGGAGAACGCATTTGTAAGTTGTCCCAGAAGCAACCCGGATTGGGAACTAACCCGAGCAGCGACGGCTTTTTCAAGCTGTTGAGAAGACAGCTAAGGAATGGACCTTATAAAACTAAAGAGATATGCGAGTGAAAGCTTGAGAGAAATGGACGAAGATGCCACGGCGAGAACGAGCATGTAATAATATAAACTCGTCTTCTAACACTGGCTACTGCTACCTTGCGTTGCGCCGTAGCTACATTGCTGTACGCCGTCGCAGTAGAGAACACTACAAAATAGATCATTGAAATTAAAGTTGGAGGTCGCCTGTCTATGACCTCTTTTTTGCGGAATTCGCGAGGAATCCTGAACTACTAAGCATTCCGCGCCAGACAATGTCACACTCTCCATTGTACTTCGTAAGTCGCTGCCCCTCGATCGGCTGGGGTGGACAGTCAGCGAGGCGCATGAGGACGTGCGCATGAGGACGTGTAGTTATTTGAGACGCCGAAATGCATATCCAACCGTCACCTGTCCAAATATCCGTGAAGGCTGCAAGGGCTGCGCCATGGTTTGCATGCGTCTCGAGTGATCGGAGCCGCTGGAGCAATTCTTCCAGCTCTTCCCCCCCCAACTCTCTATGACTTGTTAATTTCGCATTTCTCGTTCTCTTACACGCTCACAGATATTCTACTTGGAGACGCTTATTTTTACAATCCTTTCCCCGTTCATTAGTCAAGGAGGGCGGCCCCAAACAAGCTTGCAAGCCAAATGTCAACCCTCGCGGTAAGTGACATCAACCCAGGTGATACCGTAGACTGGAACGGCCTTAACTAACAGCAGAGTCCCTTTCTCTTTCTCTGCTCTAGCGCGAGAACAAATTAGCCCGAATTCGAGACAACCAGAGGAGATCGCGCGCCCGACGGAGAGAATATGTCCAGGACCTCAAACGGCGACTCAGAGAATACGAGACTCAGGGCATCGAGGCCTCTACCGAGGTCCAGATGGCCGCGAGAAGAGTAGCCGAGGAGAACAAGCAGCTCCAGGAGCTCCTCAACAGGCATGGCATTAGCGACGACCAAATAACCCGTTTCTTGCAGTCGGGCACCTTGCCACTTGATTCCAACCAAGGCCAACCCTTTCACGCCGAAGACCCTAGTGCCGCTGTCCAGTCGCTACAACGGCTCCTGATGCCGCGACAACTGGCCAGTCTAGATGAAGACTTCTCCTATATTTGTCGGGACAGTCGATTCGGAACCCCTCCACCACCGAGGGGTCGACGACAAGTTCGTCCGTCTGGGAGCCGTCGCAGCTCGTGACGTCCTCGTACGGCTATCAACATCACATGGGCATGGCTACTGCAGTCATGGAATCGGCTGTTCATTCTCCGTATCCACCGACAACCCCATTGAGTCGCGCGAGCACCACGCGACAAGGCTGCGTCTATGGCGGGCAACCGTCCCCGTCGATGCACGACAGTCCCGGCCAAGCCATGGTAACAACACAGCCTACGTCTACTGGCGGCCGTACGGTAATGCACTTGCATTATTCTGTGCCGACTTATCCAAACGCAGTGGTACCGCATTATGATTCCCTAGGAGCACCTGCTGACACGCGTCGACGAGGGCCTGCAGGGCGTATCGCCGATTCCATTGGTTGTTTTAAATATATATTGAAGATTGGCACTGTTGGCCATGCCCTTACCGATTCACTAAAGCTTTTGATATCCTTCTGTCTGTGGACCAGGGCAGCCCCGTTAGGAGGACCTGGAAAAGGGATTCCTGGCCTCTGTAGCAGTAACGCATCAGGACTTCCTGAGTAAGGAAAGCTACCCCTTTATGCGTGGGCACAGCCAAGTATGCACGGGTAGAGCCCCATACTCAGGAGGTCTCCAGAACTCCCTAAGGCCTCCTGTATAAATAGCCCCTTCAGACTGCCCCTTTAGAGATAGAACATGCATCTTGAATCTAGCTGTGGTGACCCCCTTTTTCCGATGTGTATTGACACAACATTTCACCAACACCGTCATATAAGAGTAGAACAGACTTCCCGATTCCCTGTCGAGCTTCATTGTAGCCCCTGATGTGAGCTCCAGCAAATCATCTCGTGAGTCACAGCAATGCGACTCTAGCCGTCTAGTGGCATCTATCTGCCCGGTTTACTCATGCGCCTTCCTCCTCTGTCGGAACTGTGATCTACTAGTGCTTGGCTGATGCCTGCAAGCCGCCCCTAAGAGAGAATGCCTAGCAATTGGCCTTACTCTTTGGCCACCCTTCCATCAGATAATGCTCATCCTTGGCTGGAACACCGTCAGATTCTGCATCTATGCGCCGGTCATCCGACTCATCCCTCTCTAACGTCATCAGCAAGCCAACTACCAAGCAAGAGTAGGGACAGACTTCCAAAGTGATTAGGTGGTCTTAGGCCAGACTAGCCCACAGGATCCCCCGTAGTGAGGGTCAGGGGGTGGACCTGAGGCAGGTTCACCCCCTGATCTCTACTCCCTCAGCTTAGTCCGAAGCAGGGCAATACATATTGAAGTAACGGAAAGTGGCGAGGCTTGCAGGGAGGCTGCCTGCGTGGCAAGGGGCAGGATGCTCACGTCGGGATTAACAGCTTCAAGGAGCGGGTCAAGTTGGTGAACAGGTGGTTGCACGACGTGATGGTCACATTGCGTCTCCAATCTGCAAGGCATGGTCGGTCGCATCTCGGAGAGGATTCGTAGGAAGGAAGGTCGGCCCCAGGATCGTGCCCGGGAAGCCGGTATGACCAGAGGGCGGTCTGAGGGGCGGTCTCGATCTGGCTAGAGCCGGCGTAGCTACCCGCTCCGTGGTGTCGTTGGCTGGGATATTTAACGCCGGGGAGAAGGGGGTGTAGGGGGAAAGTTTGCAATGGAGGGGGCGTGGGAGAGGTGCAAGACGACGATGAGGCCGGATTCTGGCCACTTGATGCACCTCATATTGCCTTGTTGCTCTAGCCTGTAGCATCAGCGAGATATACTGTATCCTGCACGGCTGAATGAAAAGAGACGTGCAAAGAGGCTGGGAAGGCGAAATTGACAGGAAGGATGGGTGCGACGGGAACCGCGATGCCCATATCGGCACAACGGGAGTAAGAAGTAGTACCTCAATGAGACATGCGTTGCATTTGGGACAAGAACTGGGCGTAATGGTTGGAGTTTTTGGTTACCTCCAATCATCCAGCCAGCCCCTGACGACCGTGACGCGCGCACTGCAATACAACCGTGGTTCTCTCCAAGTCAGGGAAGCTTTGCCTCGCCAGCTCTGTTCTCATCCACTCGCCATCAATCACAGGCTTCATTTCCCGCCTCCATTATTTCCAAATTTCACTCTACTATGTGCTCTATTTTTTGAGCAAAATATGACAACATGGCACGACAAGGACGGCGACAACAAAACGACGGAAGAAAGCCAAAGCGGACGCGGAGCAAATCTTCTCGAATTAGGGCCCCCGGGAAGACTACAGCCACCTCTAGATGTGCTGATGGTCTATTCGACGAGGACATGGACGTTCAAGACGGACTTCCGCCTTGCCATGGTCCGAAGTTGCATCCCTCTGCACTCGCCAACGCATCGATCACCTGGAAAGATATGCTCGATGACCACTTGAACCATATTCGGGCCACTCTGAGATCATGGCACATGTTTTCAAGGTTGAGATCGAGTCTAAGCACTACGCTTTGAAGGTGGTAAGTAGTGGTGAGGAGCTGTGGCAGCTCGAGAGGTTAACTATGCCTTAGTTTATGCCGTACGATATTTCGTATGACTACCACCAATTTTACACTGCGGGTATCCGCTGCACTGAAGAAGAGTTGGAATGGCATGTTATGCCCTTTTACTCAGAATGCCGCGCATACGGTCGAATCAAGCAGGCGCAAGACAGGCGATTACTGCCGCATCAAGTTGCAGTTCCATGCCACGGCTTTATTTCCACTTGGAGGAAAAAGACATCCGAAAACTGGAGGATGAGTGGAACCTTGATTTCAGTGTTGAACAGGACAACGCCCTAGAAACACCAATCCGTCCGATCTATGCCATTGTTGAAGATCTTGCAAGTGCAGGTTCCGGGGTCAGTGTCAAAAGCTTGCCGCGCAACCTACGAGATCTGCGATCTTTACACTCGATGGGGATATTTGTCCGTGATATAAAGGAAGATAACTATAGAGATGGGAAGCTTGTTGATTTCGGAACTGCTTGGACTGAACCGCACGTTATATTGAACCACTACGATAGGTGTATGCATTTTGATGCGGTGGAGGAGAGGGTGGGGGATTTGGCGATGTTTGATGATATGGCCAACGGGCAACGGCATCGCTAACCTTCGCAAGGTCAGCGCCATGAAGAACCGGGACTACTGTCATAAGTTGCCCAGTCGTCTAAAGGATTCGGACGAGTTTAAAAGCCTATAGCGGCGTGTAACAAGCATTGGGCCGGCTATGCTTTTTATCAATGTCGTGAAGGACGATGACTTGAGAAGCGAATCTTGCTTAGGTGCAAGGTCGGAAGGCATGGCTTCCCGCAGTCGCAGGAGGAGCCTATTCCGCACCACCTGTCGAAGGCGCCCTGTATGTCCATCATGATCAACGTGGCAATATCGCCCTGGTCGTGAAGCAATGCTAACGCTAGGTCGAGCGCTGAGCATTTGGGCAGGCCACCGCGTGCTGGCTGTGGATGGCCCTTTGCGTGATCGCGACCCAGGCCAGACGGCGGGCTATCAGACGCTCGAGTCCTTGCCGAGGCAGGCCAGGAGGAGATGGGCCTCCAGCCTCTTGGGCAGATAAGTCCCTCCTGCCCGGTTTGGGGATCATCACTACCTCCGCCAGGCGGTAGCAGACCGGGTGGTGGCCCTGGTGTATGCAGCCCTTATACAATTCCCTCACCGCTTCGCCGAATGTGGCTCCAGATCCGACGCAACATCCGAACTGTGATGCCGTCGACTCCCGGGGAGATGTTTCCAGTGGAAGTGCACGAGTGAGCCGCGTCGGCGAGCACGACGCTGCAGTCGAGGGTCCTCTGCCGGACCTCCGGCGCCTAGGGGTCCGTGATGTCGTCTGCAGTCACGCGCCTCTCCAGGATCTCTGTCCGAAGCACGTTTGCCTTCTCCGTCTGGGTCTCATAGAACGTTTTGTGACGGTCACGGACTGAGCCAGAAGGCTGTGGACTCTATTACGAAGATTCTACTCTGAAGAAGAGAAAGGAGAACAGAACAATACAGCCGGGTGTCCTCTCCCTAAATATGTCTTCCGTACGTGTGGGCCGTGGCTTAACAACATGTGGGTCATGTACGCAAACGGGGTGTGACGGTGCTCAACGAAAGCCGTCACACGTTTCGCCTACTTGTATAGGCGGCCTGAACGGACTCGCCTTCTCGGCCACCGCATGATATTGCATACATACATCATCTCTCGGCGCCTTCCAGAACCATATTGACTTGCTGATATTGCTGAGAACCGATATTCCTTACGGCGTACTTTTCGATCTTGGTGAGCCGCACGAGTTGGCCGTGTGAGCGCCTGGGTCTGGCAGGGTACTCCTTATGGTCGGTCTGTCGGAAAGGGTTCGGCGCAGTTCGCGCACCTCTGCGGGTGCTTGCAGTCGTTATCACGGTGGTCTTTCCCGCCACATCGTCGGCGGGCCTGCTTTCGGTCGCAGGCGTAGCGGGAGTGGTGATCCCAATCTTGGCGATCAGTCGGGCTAGTCGGCTGGTGCCCAAGAGCCGCCACCTCCTCTGTATCGCCGCCTCGAAGGACACAGTCATCGTCACAGTAGGCTGGTCGCGACGGAGCGTTCGGAGTGTCTCTTAGCAACATGGAGCATCAATTGGTTCGGCGCCTGTCTGGGGCTTGATCCCTTCTTTGATAGCTTGGCCAGTCCACGGCGGCCCCCCAGATATCCGTGAGCTGCCTCGGGCAGTCAGCCACAGCGTAAGTGTGCCACTTCTGGAAGCCTTCAACCGCTCCGAGGCGGGCCGGGCCGCCCAGTCGTCCTGCCGTTCCACAAGCAGGTCCTCGCCTCCCGGTCTGAGGCCCGAATAGCCCATCCAGTCTTCACCCGGGCGATCTGTGGCATGCGTTCTATCCCTAGGTTGAGAGTCTTAGCTACGTGAGCTCTGATGGCATGTCCTGGTAGCCCCATGCTGGGGACTTGTCGTCGAGCCGCATGAAGACACGCAGGTCATCCTTGTATGTATGTATGTAGTGTATTTCACCCGGAGGATTTCTCCTATAGGGCCTAGACGTAAAAGCTACTGACATTTCAATACATTAATGCGTAACACCTTAAGCCCCACGGACAGGTCATCCTTAGGCGGCTGGACCGGAGGCGTTTCCGGGGCCGTGGGTCGAGGCGGACCGGCAGGGGGCCCCCTGCCTGCACCATCCCCTTCTGGGCCATAGCGGCGTAGGTCGGTGTGGTCCCGTCTGAGTAACGAAACATGCACGGACGATTTCGAATTTGGAAGAGGGACCCGCCCACAACAATTTGGCGCGCGCCTCCCAACGCCGTGGCCGCCTCGTCGCGCCTACCACTGGCACCGAATAGTGGCTGCTTTACGCTTAGCCTTCCCGGAAGTCTTGCTGTTTGCAACGTTAACGACGTAGCCTTGATCTTGCTGATCATTCCGAAGTGCCTCAAGAGCCTCGGAATATGTGCAAAAAGTGTGTCCTGGATAGATATAGGCTCAGGCCTGAGCCCTCGATCGTAGTCATCGTGGCGCGGCGGCGGCGGCGGCGTTGGCTACAGTGGCCGCGGCAGCCATCGCGTTGGGAACGCGCGCGCCAAATTGTTGTGGGCGGGTCCTCTTCCAAATGGGGTTTAAGTCTCCGTGCATGATTCGAAATCGTCCGTGCATGTTTCGTTACTTCCAAAATTTGGTGCTCTTCCGAATGGGGTTTAGCTCGGGGGTGCATGTTTCGAAATTGGGGGTGTATGTTTCGTTATTCAAATCCCTTTCCCTTGCAGGCAGGAACCTAACCTAGGTATGCATGCAGCAAAGCCATGGTTCATTCATTATGCTTCTAACAGGGGCTGATAAGATTTCCTGTCTTGACCGCCTAGCGATGAATAATTTACCAGCACCCACCTGCCCTCGGCATCGAGTTTCCAGCATCAGCTACGAGTCCATCCAAAAGTCGCCCACGCACCCTTCTCCGGCACCCTCCCTTCCGTATCATGAGGGTTGATACGCCGAGTGGTGAGGCGGCTGTCGGGTCGGACGCACCGCGAGAAAAGGGCAAGGCGTCTCCCGAAACTCTGAGGACGGGCTGCATTGCCTGGGTGGAGAAGGAAGGCCAACCGCGGCGAGCCGAGATCCTCAGTATCAAAGAAACGAAGAGTGGCAAGCATTTCTATTGCAACTTCGACAACTTTAACAAGCGACTGGATGAGTGGGTTCCTGTGGCCAGAATCGACTTCAGCCAGGATGTAGAATGGCCGAATCCAGAAAAGGGCAACCTGAACGATTCAAAATCCAAGAAAGCGCCGTCAGTACAAACGAAAAAGGCCCCAGTTTCGACGAAGGCACAAAAAACGCCCCGGAAAGAGGGGAGCAGTCGGTTCACTCTGAGGCCACAACTCCTCATCCTTGGACAGGTGTGCCCACCATCACAATGTTTTTGGAAAGCGACGACAGATCCATCTGCTGACTCCGTCACACCCAGAATTCGTGGAGTCTCAAACCCGAAAATCATCGTCGATTGGACCCGATGGCGATCCCCAGACATTCACCAGCGTCGGGGCTAGTGCTACGCCGGCCGCCACCGACGAGCTGGACGCGGACGAGGAGGAAGTAAGGAATTATGAAGAAAGCGGGTTCAGTCGCGAAGAGGAAATCGAGAAGTTGAGAACCTCAGGTTCTATGAGTCAAAACCCCGCCGAAATTTCGCGAGTACGAAATATCTCGAGAGTCCAATTCGGGAAGAACGACTTGTTTCCGTGGTACTTTTCCCCCTATCCAGAAGTGTTCAGCCAGGATGACGTCATCTTCATCTGCGAATTCTGCTTGAGTTACTATGGTGACGAGAAGGCATTCCTGCGACATCGCAGAAAGTGCACGCTGCAACACCCACCGGGTAATGAAATATACAGAGACGACTACGTGTCCTTTTTCGAAATCGATGGCCGTCGTCAACGCACATGGTGTCGGAATCTCTGCCTACTGTCTAAAATGTTTCTCGATCACAAGACACTGTACTACGACGTCGACCCTTCTCTTTTACGTCATGTCGACCCGGAGCGACAAGGGCTGCCATATCGTAGGATACTTCTCCAAAGAGAAGGAGAGTGCGGACGGATACAACGTGGCTTGTATCATGACTCTGCCGCAGCACCAGAGGAAGGGATACGGAAGGTTGCTGATTCAGTTCTCATACGAGCTATCCAAGATCGAAGGCAAGCTAGGATCACCGGAAAAGCCGCTTTCAGATCTGGGCCTCTTGAGTTATCGCCAGTACTGGTCCGAAAACATACTCGATCTGCTGCTAGGCTACAACGAGCGAGACGACAGAGTGACGATAGAGGTGATTTCCAAAACTCTAGCCATGATGACTCAGGATGTCGAACACACCCTGCAAGCAATGAATATGCAAGTCTATCACAAGAGCGACCACAAGATCGTCATCCCCGACAAGCTCATCAAGCAAAGGGAGAAACAGAAGCAGAAGCAAAAAAGATCTCTCGACCCGGCCAGGATACAGTGGAAGCCGCCAGTGTTTACAGCCTGGAGCCGGACGTGGGGCTGGTAAAGATGCGCCGCAACGATATGTGTGGTGGAAGAAAAAGGTGTCGCATCGAGCTGACCCTGTTTGGAAGGAGGATACTTGTTTCCTGTGTATGCAGATATCGGGGTCCCTCCTGACAGCTATTTAAGCTCGGTCAGTGGACACCCAACGCTCTTTACTCTCTCTTTTGTAACAGTAACAGTGTCACGAAAAGTAGGGCCAAATAGGCATAAAGTTAGTATTTCAGAATCGTCCGGTGCTGCTCCATTTTTCCTTCTGTTCTCTGTGTCTGTTCCTTCCTTCCTCGCCCTTTTATTCCTGGCCACAATCTCGATCTTCTCCGTCTGCCTCACACCTCCGTCAATCGTCGGGGGTGGCTGCGCCCCACTTTTCCTAGGACACCGTCCTGACGGCCGGGCTGACTGTCTCAGCCGACGCATCAGAAAGCAGGCCTGACGTCCTGGCTGACTGTCTCAGCAGGAGCATCAGCAAGCAGGGAACCTCTAGAGGTCCTACGAGCGGCTTCGCAACACACCCCCTTAGTGACGGCCAACCAGGACGTTGCTAGAGATGCGGGAATGTCGTGCACGACTCATCTCTCGCCCTGGGCCTCTTTATGGCTATCACGGGATGTATCACATCTCGTAATTCTTCAAGCTTGGCCTCTCTACTCAATCGTTCCTTTATCTCCTCAAGCCCAACCATTCGTTGGAACTCGAGGAGCTTCTGCCTCGGCAATGCCTTCGTCAAGCCATCTGCTCGCATATGTGTCGTAGGCACCCAATTGACCGAATTCGAGCATCTTGAACCTCTTGTCGTAGCCAATGCTGATGAATGTCTACGTGCCTCAGTCTCGTCGAGAGCTTCGTACTCTCCTCTTTGAGAAGTCTGATCGTCTGGGCATTGTCGCATTCCACTACCAACGGAGAGGGAATTCGGATGTCCAGGAATTCAACAGACGGCTCAGGAAGATCGCCTCCTTTGACGCCTCTGAGAGAGCAAGCAACTCAGCCTCCGTGCTTGACGTCGTGACTGTCGCTTGCTTTGACGCTCTCCACGCCACTGATCCTCCAAATAGGGTCATGACGTAGCCTTGTGAGCTCTTCCTGTCGACTGAATTGTCTGCGAACGATGCGTCACTCGAACAGAGGAACAGCTCCGCTTCCTTCGATCCTCCTCCGAGACGTAACGCGTACGATCTCGTTGCAAAGAGGAAGAGGATAACTCTGTCTGCTGCTTTCTGGTGCTTCTCATCGGGATTGTGGTTATGTCTTGCCAGTCGGGATACGGCAAACGCAATATCTGGTCGCGTTGAAATTGCTGAGAAGAGCACGGAACCAACCTTCTGGAGATACTGATGTTTTTCCCTTTCATTTGCTTGGCTTGTAGCTGGCAGGAGCTCTTCGTCAGAGATCATTGGCGTGTCTGGGAGCTTGAGAGACTCAGGGGCGTTGTCGTTGTTTAACAGGAACTTATACGCGATCTTGTCGATATAGGCGTCTTGCGTCAGCCAAAGCGTCTTCCTTTGACGATCGCGGAGGATACGAATCCCAAGAACCAGCGAGGTTCTCAAGCCGAGTTAGGTTGATCTTTTTCTGTAGTCCCCGAGTAGCTTCTTCGACGACCCCTTCGTCCTCCTTCCGGAATGCCCAGATGATGTCATCAACGTAGAAGAAGACGGTCACCGCTCCCTTCATCATGACACACGGCTCCTGGGGAACTTTTCTGAATCCCAGTTCCTCTAGAGACGACGTAAGCATCTGTTGCCAGAGGAGCGGCGAGCGGCGTAGTCCGTAGAGAGCTTTTCTCAGGCGTAGGACTTTCCCCCTCTTCTGGAACCCCGGTGGCATCCTCATGAAGATAACTTCTTCGTCGTCGAGGGGGGCATGAACAAAAGCATTGACTGCATCCATCTGTTCCAATTCGAGGTCGTGTTTCGCGGCAATGGCCATTAGCGTACGAAACGACATTCCTGCGAGGGTAGTCGCTCGAGTAGGCAGGTCCCCCTTTTCTTGCTGATTGCCACAGACAACGAGGCGAGCTTTGCACTTTGGAGATTGCCGTGCTTATCAGTCTTATAGATGAATACCCACTTGCAACCGAGGACCTGCTTTCCAGCAGCCTTCGTCCAGAAGACCTCGTCAAACGAGCCCATTTCCGCATGTGAGGCCAGGTGGTCTCTCTGAGCCTGGGTGAATTCCTCTCTATACGGGTGTTTTTCTAGTTGCTTCTGCGTCTGTGGAGGCTCGGGTAGGTCTCTCTTGTGGACTTTTGCGCTTTTCGGTCTGAACAACCTTCCTGCTGTGAAGGCTCCGTGCACCCCGTCCTCAATTGGCACCGGGACGAAGTCGGCAAAACGGTCGATGTATGACTGATCCAGCTCTGGTTGATCAAATGGTTCCAGAGCTTTCAAACGCGATTCTTTCATCAGGCCTTCAAGGTCGGCTTGAAATGCCGCTCCTCCAAGAGAGCAACCCACCCCCTCAGGGTGAGCCTCCTCTTCAGGATCATCCTGAACACGGACTCTCTTCTGAGCTTGCAACGGCTCCAGATCGACTTGGAAAGGGGCTTTTACCACCACCCCATTAGGGTCAGCGTATGGAAAGTGAACCGAAAAGACTCCATGTGGTTCTTCTTCCTCCGGGTCAGAAGCTGGTGGCGTTAGGTATGCATCTTCCAGCTCCCGCGCTCTCCCGTAGTCTTCTTTTTCCTGCTCTTCGCTTTGTTGTTGTCCCTGCTCCTCGACTTCGTTATCTTCAGCCATTCTGATGTCATCATCCTCGAGGTCCTCGATATCAGTGTCTTCATCGGTCTCTTCGTCAAGGATGGCCTGATTCGCCGTCTGGTCTTCCGGGATTTCAATCTGTTGGATCATCTCTCCGATGCTCGCAGGCAGCGGCATCCGCTCGCCTCCTCCTTCGAAGAACGTATACTCGTCAAAGACAACATCTCTCGTTGCAATGACCTTCTTCAAGAGAGGGATCCAAATTAGGAAGATATTTGTAGACTTATAACCGATGAGGTATCCGATGTGAGCTCTCGGGTCGAGCTTCCACCTCTTCCTCAATCCAAGCTGTGCATTTGCTGTCATTGCGTAGGCTCGGCAGCCGTACGCACGAAGATGTGAGAGCTGATTTTTCTTCCCTGTGAACAAGTCAATGGGAGACTTCCAGTCGGCTTCTCCTTCGTTAGCGTTTTCAGCGGCGAATCGAGGCTCTCTTGGCGTTCGGTTTCGGAGGTAGCAGGCTGCTTCGATGATCTCTTTCCATAGTGAATGCGGTAGTCGAGAGGCAATCCTCATGACTCTCGCTCTCTCGGTAGAGATCCTCCTGACCTCTCGGCTCCACCATTCTGGTCCTGAGTGTTGGAAGCTGACATCGCCTTTGTCATCCCTTTCTTCCTCATCCAGGCTGAGATTTTCTTCGTGAAGAGCTCGCCGTCAGAGCGCACGACATTCGTCTTAAATCCAAAGCGAGCGAGCATAAAGGAGGAAAAGTCTTTCAAGACAGCTCCGTGTTCCTTTGCCTTGTAGGTCTTCATGAAGTAGGGAAAGACCATTCCAGAGAAGGCGTCTGTGATAAACATCACACGGACGTAGTTCTCGTGGTCTCTCGCAAGGTCGGTCCAGTCTATCCAGATCTCGTAGCACGGCTTGTCTCTTTCCTCGTCAGGTGGACGGCGGAGACTTGCCTTCTGACCTTCCCTGAGCACAGTACTCGCATTCGACGGTTTTCGGCCCTTAATCCGGACCCCTTTGTAGGCCTAGCTTGTGCAAAGCCATTGGACCAGGGTGACCAAGACGGGCGTGCCAAAGCTTGCCGTCTCCTTGAGAGGCAGGTCGAGGATCTCTTGAGCCGGCTCTTCGAGCTTTCCTTGTCTCCTTCTTCGATGCCTGGAACGCACTGTTGAAATCCGGGAATTCGGTTTCCACGGGCTGGTATTCAACAACAAACTGCTGATATTTCCTCTCGGTGATCCCGATAGTCTGGCCCTTTCGGACTAGCCTCATAGGCTCAGACAGCGTATCCCAAAAGATCTGATCGTCGTCGATAAGAGTCTGCAAAGAAACCAGGCTCGATGAGAAACCGGGACAGTAGGCAACCTTCTTTAATCGGAGTGTTCGGTGGGAGCCGTCAGGCATCGTCGTTGCGACATTGACTCGCCCGAATCCTTCGATTCGAACGAGAGAGTCACCGGCGACGATAAAGTCATTCTTGGCCTTTTAAACGATCGGAACCGACTGAGCTTGTTGTTGATATGAAGAGATGCGCCGCAATCAAGGAGGGTTGAATTCTTAAGCGGATATTCCGATCCTTAGGCCAGGGACTCAGCTGAGAACACGAAAGCTGGGTTTGCTGAGCCCACAAGCCTTCCCCTCATCCTTGGTTGCTATTTCTGCATTTTCTTTCGAATATCTTCAATTCTCCTTTTCAGGACAGGATCGTCAGCGACTCTCTCTCGTGTCATCTTGAGATACCTTTCAGGGGGCGGATTATAGCCCTCTGGTCTGGCTTCTTCGATAACCTGCCAGCAACCTCGAGCTCGTGTCCCTTGCGTCTGCAGGCAAGGCAGGGATCTCTTTGGAATATGGCTCCCTTCCAAGGGCTCTCTGTCCAGCTTCTTCTTCTTCGCTGGCGGTACTTCGTCCGCATCGTCTGCGTCTGCTGCTGCTTTGTCCGCATGAAATGCGCCTCCTCTTTGATAGCACCTCGGGTTTTTCTGCTTCTCTGCTTTCGGCCAGATGCTTCACATCTCGCACGACTCTCTCAACAGTCCATTGACTCTCCGTCGGAGCTTGGGCTGCAAGAACGGCGGCGACTGCGGCCGTTGCTGCAGCGGCCATCGCGGCTACTGCAGCTGCTGCCGGATTGTGAACAACGGGGTTAACAGGAGCAGCAGCAGGAGGACCATATCGGTCGAAGTCGAACAGTTTCCCTGGGTAGCCTCTGATTTTGCGTCGAGTATCCTGCTTCCTTGTTCGTACTGGTAGCCTAGGGAGTTATCCAGAGGCCTAATCAATGTGGCAACGTCTCTAAGCCACTGGCCCGTTTGGGCCTCCATTAGCTTATACTTATCGGCGTCAGACATTATGTCTTCCCATTTGTCGATCCAGGAGTCTAGATCCTTTGCGTTAAATCTCTTTAGGTGGGTCGAATACTTGGTCCTTGTGAGATTCATCATATATCCCGCTTCAGGGGCCGTCGACGCTTCTAGACGTTTAAACCACTGACGAATTGGAAGGTCTTCGTCGAAGGCGTTCTGCTTCGAGGATACCACTGATTCCTGCATCGCTATGCGAGCGTTGGTAACCAGTTTAGTCTCATCTTTATACTCTTTCCTCCTGATATCATAGTCCCGCATCGCGTCGTTATAATCTCTCTTCTGAACGGCAGAGAGGTCAGCGAGTCTAACAGCATCAGGGGCGTAGTGGCGGAATTCAGGTCGCTCAGGAGGTTCGAGGGGGTCCTCGTTGGTAAAGATCAGGCTATGGATCGTCTTGTCAGTTCGATTCCTGAGCTCCCTTCTCCATTTGTCCCAGTTGCTTGGTCCTGAGAGGATCGCTCGTGCAGGGGCGGCAGAAGACTTCGACATCTCGTTGATTTGAGAGTGGTTTTCGGTCGGAATGGAAGTTACAGGAACGTAGTTCCTCCGGGCTCATGACTGTCACGAAAAGTAGGGCCAAATAGGCATAAAGTTAGTATTTCAGAATCGTCCGGTGCTGCTCCATTTTCCTTCTGTTCTCTGTGTCTGTTCCTTCCTTCCTCGCCCTTTATTCCTGGCCACAATCTCGATCTTCTCCGTCTGCCTCACACCTCCGTCAATCGTCGGTGGCTGCGCCCCACTTTTCCTAGGACACCGTCCCTGACGGCCGGGCTGACTGTCTCAGCCGACGCATCAGAAAGCAGGCCTGACGTCCTGGCTGACTGTCTCAGCAGGAGCATCAGCAAGCAGGGAACCTCTAGAGGTCCTACGAGCGGCTTCGCAACAAACAGAGACCTCTTTTACCCCTTCTCTGCGGGATCAGCTTTCACATCCGACTTGTCCCTCGTGCGTGCCTCGTGGTGAGATCCGACAGCATCTTTAAAAAATGTTTATCGTTCTGCCGATAAATTTGTGTCAAGTGCACGTGCGTAAAGTCACATTGACCCCATGCATCACTCATGAAAGCCCACTTTTCATGCTCGTGGAATGGCCCATCCCTTTGAGTGTCGAGGAGGAGCAAGGGGGGTCACGAACAGGGATCTCAGCCAATAAGACCACTAGGCGATTAGGGGTACATTGTTTTACTAGCAAATTTGGCTATGGTAGAAGTCCCAGCAATCCTGCTTAGTACATATAGCTACATCACACTGGTTACATCCCTTACGAGTCTTCGTGCCCGGCTTCTTGCGTGCATTGCTGCTAGCTGTGCCTAACGGCTTGCGCCGACTTCGTGATCTTATTTCCCCAGCTTTAAAGCCTTGACAAGGAAGGCAGCGAGAGCTTTTGCCGCGATTGACATGTTTATGCTGTGTTATAGGCGTAAATATGTCTCCAGCTCGAAATAGTTGTCTTGAGCTACCGTCTTTGCTATACCGTAAGCCTCGCAAAGATCTCTCACAATGCGTTGCCGCCACTCGCGCTGTGAGGTTATTCGCGGCCAGCTTGGCTGGCCCCAAAGCTGAAGAAGGTAGCTGTTAACAAGGGCAGTCTCAAGCAGGAAGGTCCACGCAAGTGCCCGCCAATTTCCCCTACAAACACGGTGGTCTAGTCCCTCTCCTGCTCTTAGTTGGTCACCAATATCAACGCCGCCCATTTGATCAATGTAGTCTGCAGAGATAGACGGCACAGGAAGACGTAATACAGGCTCGGCACCGAATTTTTGCTGTATTGGGCGTGCTCGAGGCTGCGTTGTTGTCGGCCGGCGCCGAATTCGCTCTTCGAATTCCTCGCCGGAATAGACTGTTGAGAGGAATAGCACAAGAGCGTTATCTTTCCAAGCGAATTGGTTGACCTAGAAGAAGAAGACGAATTAGTAGGGGAATTACTAGAGAGCCTGTCTTCTAGTACTCGTACCTGACCGTCAGGGGTTGGCGCAGTCTTCAGTGTGCCCCACGGCCAACAGTCCCCCTTTGTGTCAGCTTTCTTCGCCTCCACGAAGGGTTTGTAGAAGCCACAGTTGATTCGGGCTGTGCCTGTGGCCCCAATCTCTAGCTGACGAAGAGCGTTGAGGAGGTTCGGCGAGGAAAAGAGGTTATCAAAGAAGACATGGTATGTCTGTTCTGGTAGTTGCTTGACTAGGGCAACAACGACGCTCTGGGTCGGGTTGAGAGAAATGCTGCCCTCTGCTGTGCCTATGGCCCTCTTCCTTTTCTTCCCAGCAGCCGGGCCAAGGGCATTACCATGCCCCACCCCCCTTTCGGTAACACCCACCTTTCGGTAGCGCAATTGAAAAATTCTCCACCAAAAGTCTACCATTTGAACTACATGAAATATGATCAGAACTTAACATTATAAACACAAAAAAATATCATTCCGTAGAGAAATGGACGCTCTTATATGTCCCGGCGCTTTTTACCATTCGCCCGGATCTGGTGGTGACTGGAAGGGCTTCGGTGCCACCTTGACTTCGATCACTGAAGCTGTCTCCACCTCTGAGACCGCCTCCTCCTCTGTGTCAGAATTCAGCACAACGGCTATCTCTTGGCTTTTAATTTGGGAATGGCTTCCTCAGCCACCAAAGCTTCACTGAGAGTCATGAACCGTCTGTTCGGGTTCGGAATTGCTCTCCTCTTCTTGCCTCTCTGCAGCCGGGCCACTTCTTCCTCTAGCTTCGCGATTCTGTTGCTGTGCTCGGCAAGCGTCTGTTCTTGGGCTTCAAAGCCTCTAGCTATCACGGCGTATCGTCTCCGGGTGCCAGGAGTCTTGTTCTTTCCTCTCGCAGAATGTTAAAATGCAGGGTAAGTGTTGGCAGGGCTCGAGCATGAGACAAACTGGGAACGTCGTTCAACCGGTGTGTCGTATTATGCTATGAGGATTGTCTATCTCCAAGGGAGAGGAAGTCACGAAGCTAGCTTTGTGGCCTCAGCCGTACTCAGCCGTACACGTGACTGTGTACGTATGCTAGCTAGGTGAGTGGGGAGCCAATAGAGGCGCGGACCCCCGCGCCTTTAAGTTAACGTAATCCACCCCCTTCCCGGTCACACCCCCTACCCGCTCAAAAATTCCCCACCGACACGACCCGCACTTCATGGCGAGACAAGCCGAGCACGATGACGGAAATTCGAGACCAATCGATTCCACGCGAAGAACGGGTCCTGCTCGCCGTCAAGGCCTATCAGCAAGGCCAATTCGACAGTACCCACAAGGCCGCAACGGCATATGATATCCCTCACTCGACAGTATCTGGTCGACTGCGCGGTGCCCGCCCCCGACGCGATGCGCAGATGAACAACCGGAAGTTGACGGCGACGGAAGAGACTGCCCTCGTACAATGGGTCTTGTCGATGGACGAGCGAGGGATGCCGCCGACAGTGGTCTACACTCGCCGCATGGCCAACTTGTTGCTCTCTGAGCGCGGCCAAGAAACTGTCGGCGAGAATTGGGTGCGGAAGTTCGTTGGCCGCCACGACGAAATCAAGGCGAAATACTCGTCGATATGATTACCAACGTGCCAAATGCGAAGGTCCGAAGACGATCCAAGAATGGTACGATCGAGTGGCAATGGCGAAGCAGAAATGGGGGATTCTTGACGAGGATGTCTACAACTTCGATAAGACGGGGGGGGGTTCAAATGGGAGTCATTGCGACGGCAAGAGTCCTTACTCGGTCTGACCGGCGAGGTCGGCCTATGGTCATGCAGCCAGGAAATCGAGAATGGGGTTACGGTGATTGAGTCTATCAATTGCCTAGGTTGGGTTTTGCCGGCGATGGTCATCTTCCAGGGCAAGGTGCACCAAGCAAGCTGGTACAAAGCAGGTGTGCCCAAGGACTGGCAGATTGCCGTGAGCGACAAATGGACTTCCGACGACCTTGGATTGCATTGGTTAAAGGCAGTTTTCGACCCATACACACGGCGCCGTACGGTTGGAACACGTCGACTTCTCATTCTCGACGGGCACGGCAGCCATGTTACGCCGGAATTTGACAAGTACTGTACGGATAATGCCATTGTGGTACTCCAAATGCCAGCTAATTCCTCACATCTCTTACAGCCTCTGGATGTCGGGTGCTTTTCGCCCTTGAAAACGATATATGGGCAGAAGGTTCAAGAGAAGATGCTCGCAGGGGTCAACCACATTGAGAAAGAGGACTTCCTGCCTCTATACGTCGAGGCCCGCGGACAAGCACTCTCCCCGTCGAACATCCGATGTGGATTCATGGCCACAGGCCTTTCTCCATTCAATCCGACCCCGGGTTCTGTCACGGTTACGCGTTCAGGTTGACAGGAATAGCAACCATGATGCACGGCAACAACTTGTCGAGGAGGAGCAGGCCCGACGGCAGAGAGAAGAAGAGCTATGCGTCCCAAGACAGCGTGCACCACAACGGTGTAGTAAATGCAGGTCTTTGAACACAATGCCCGGACGTGTAATAGCTAGACAGTTCTGAATTGACTTGCTTGTTTGTCTCTTGGACTCAATTGCCGTCTGTTGTGTTCGGTTGGTCGTGACGTGAGGTGCGGGTCGCGTCGGTGGGGAATTTTTGAGCGGGTAGGGGGTGTGACCGGGAAGGGGGTGGATTACGTTAGATGACAACAGGCGGTCTGGTGTCGCGAAGACCGTCGCGCCATGCAGGCAAAAGTGGAACGCGCTCCTACAGGTGCGCTGCAATTGACACATATCCAATGACTGCTCCCGACACACCCTCAGGGATCAGGCTCCGCCGGGATTCCTGGAAACCAGGCGCGGAGTCGAACACCATGCACCGCATCCGGGTAAGGGACCAAGGATACCTAAGAAGGAAGGATAACAGCCATATGCGGGTACCCCGCACCGCGCGCAGCTACCGGAAGTTACAGGGTGGTTAGCCATCCTCCCGGGCTCATAACTTGTCGCGAAGACCATTGCGCCGGCGATGCAGGCAAAAGTGGAGCGCGTTCCACTTTTGCCTGCATGGCGCGACGGTCTTCGCGACAAATAGACAGACGCGAGGACGAAAGCGGGGCGCGAAGGCGAAGCTCGCAGGAGCAAGCAGCCGAGGCAGGGGTGGGGCTCGAGGCGCGGGCCAATTAGGATGCTGGCGGCGTCCCCTTTGGGAAGTCGGCGGCACGGATTCAAAATTTGGGCAACTTCTCCAGGCACGCGGCTGCGATGGATGGATTCCCACCAGTGGCAAGCCGCGAATAAATTTCAGGAATACTCGAGTACGTGAGTACGATGGGTAGCAAACCCATTTGAAACAATAGAGCCCCATGTGTCTTCATGCTCTACCCGAAGGTAAGCACATACCGGTAGTTGTTTCCGGTGAGTAATCAAACATGCACTCCGACTTAAACCCCATTTGGAAGAGCCCCACCACCAAAATTTGGCGCGCGCGTTCCCAACGCCGTGGCCGCGGCGGCTGCCGCCCGGTCGCATTCAATCAGCACGCATTCAATCAGCATTTAATTATCACCAACGCTGGAAGCTGCGTTCCTTGGAGTCGTTCAAATATATCAATACGCCCGGCCCGACCGATTTTCCGATATATATACAATGTGCACACCTTTGACTACCGCCCGTGAGATCAATCAACGCCGTGACTATGACTGTGACGGTGCCGGAGGATCCATAGGATCCGTCTGATCCGTCTGACGCGGCGGAGGACGAGGCACGTAAGGGACGAACGTATGCCCGGCCTGCCTACCAAAATTGTATGGCGCCGTGTCCCTCTGATCCCCTGGCTGTCGGGCAGGCTCCCTTGCCGATATAACAGCGAAAGTCACATCCCGACTTCTTGGTCGAGGTCTTGTATATGCCCTCCTTGGCATCCCAGCACCTATATTGACCACTGTATTCGCAGCGGATATTAGCTTCCTTGCGCCTTGGCTTGCCGGCAGTCTTGCTGTTTCTGACGACTACAACGTAGCCAAGGAGCTCGTGCGTGGCCTTCAGCGTCTCTAACGCCTCGTCATACGTATCGAAAGACATCTCCTCGATAGCCTCAATGTCGCTGTTTGTATTCATGTTGCGATCGGTCGAATTCATCGTGACGGTTGTGCGGTAGGCGGCGGCGGCGGTGGCGACGTTGGTGATAGCTTCAAAACGATGGCTTCAAAACTGTGTGCAGAGGTGGCCTCGGGCGCCGCGCCAAATTTTGGTGGTGGGGCTCTCTTCCAAATGGGGTTTAGGTCGGAGTGCATGTTTGATTACTCCTGGTTCTCAGCAATTCGTTCTGAGATTGGAGGCTTTCGAGGGTACTTTTCAGCTTCCGACTGTCTCGGTCAGCATTTACCGAGGATCTGTCGACTCCTTTGTCGACCAGTCGGCGCAAATCCCGAGCAGTGGGCTGCTGAAGGGCGAGTGAGTCTGCGGAGCTATCGCCAGACTCGGAATCGTCTTCCGCTTTCTCCATGATCTGCGACAAAACGACATCGGGGTCAAATGGTACCATGCCCCACCCAGAACCGGTACACCCCCACAACCGGTACAGCAAAAAGGCGCCATGACCATACAAACTATATCAATTGAATTGAAGCCATTAGCCCATACTAAATTATAGAAGAAATACTACTCTGTAGTGCGTTCAATGCTTAATCGCCATGGGTTGTTGGGTTTTTGGTTTGTCGCCGCGCCCGTGTGTAAGTAGGCGACGAATCAGGTGACTTTACCCTCCTCCCCTTCTCCTCTTCAACCTGATTAAATGCACCATTAATCGTATCTGGCACCTCTTCTTCTCCCTGTCGAAGCATCTAGACACTACCTTACATATATCAGAGTTTTATGGACATATTATTAGGATTGGGGATCATTATTTCCTTCCTTGGCCTCATACGATCCAGCGTAGCCGCTGAGGCCTGGAATCTCTGATCCTTCAGCACCAACTCTGCTTCATTGCGCTCAAACACTCTAGGTATCTTTCTCAAAGTCCTCTCGAGACTACTAGGTTCGATATTTTGTAGCCTGTGGAGTTGTCGGCTCGTGCTTGGTGTCATTGGATCAGAGCTTAAGAGACCAACCTTTGGCGTCGTTTTCGGTCCAGTTGCCAACTCGTGCGGCTCACCAAAATCGATTGACACGAGAGAGGCGCTGTCTCCGAGAATTTCATGTCTCGTCGATAACGTGCAGCTGCTTCGACGATCAGCCGAAGACGCAAAACGGGACGCCAGGCAATGGGCATCCTCATCTGGAAATGGCCATCGGACTGTCGCACACGTGGAGGAGGATGGGGCGGACGAGGCGGGCGCAGAATCTACAGCGACGTATCAGTCTAATAGCATCGGAAACGCAACGCGGCTGATCGATGTCCGAGGTGCATGGGACCCGAACCAGGTAACGGCCAAGTCGCCGGAGCTCATGGAGATGATGCAACAGCTCTATCAGTTCCAACAATCAGCGCTGTGCTCGACGGCCGAGCCGGAGGCCGCCGTGGTACCCGAACGAGGGCGAGATGGATAAGCATGTAGGGTATTTTCCGGGGCCGCACTGCCACAGCAGAATCAGGTCAGGGCCACCAAGTCGCAGCAGATGAGTGCCTCGAAGGAGAGGAGAGGATGATCCAGGGCATACAAAGTATAACCGTGGTCCGGGAAAGCGACCGCCGCGCTGCGTTGCGGAGGGTCATGGCCGGCTTCGGGGAGGACAATGTCGAAATGGCGACGGCCGACTTCGACGAGACCGCAGGCGACGCAGAGGCGGGAATGCATGTCCAATTTGGCCTATCAACCTCTTGCTCTGCGACGGGCAGAGAGTTGGCAACACGGCTGACGCTGAACAAAACGCAGTCGATCGCTTTCTCAATCATATGCCGCCAGCTCGATTTGATGCGACAAAACGACGGAGGCGATGTCGGCCAGCTCTGCCAGTTCGTCCGCGGCGAGGGCGGGACCGGCAAGTCGCAAATCATCGAGGCACTCGTCGAGTTGTTCAGTAGGAGGAGCCTTTCGAATCGCCTGCTGATCACGGCGACGTCGGGGACTGCCGCAGCGCGGATCAATAGTAGCACGATCCACTCCACCTGCAGGGTCTCCAAAGACCAAGGGGCGGCCGCGAACACGGCCAGAGATCTCGACGAGGACTGCAAGCAAGCGGATCGGTTCGTCCATGACCAATTTCGGATAGATTGGCAGGAGAAAGACGCGCTGGTCATACCATGCGCTATCTTCGTCAGAACGTGTTTCCATGTTATACCGGTACGCTGGTCTGTGAGAGGAGAATTGTTGCAACCCCGCGGTAGAGTGATGGTGAAGTCCAGTGGTTGGCGGAGGGCTGGCATGACCAGATTACCAACTGTTGTAGAGACGAGTTGCGGGGAACGGGTTGGGCGAGGAAACTCGGGGTGTCGCTCCTAGACCCTTCCGCTGCTGCCTGGTGGGGGCAGCAATGCTACTCGACGCCAGCTCACTTTCTGGCCGCAGTGAAGACGATTTTGCTTATGTTGAAGGGGTTGCAGCCCTTGCAGCTCAGTACTACCAAGCAGCCAGAAGCGAGGGTGCTGTCAGTCGCCCAAGACGAGGACCTGC